AAATCTGTTTTAGATATACCAAGTCCATGATTCTGTTTGGTATATACATTTTAAAATCTGAAGTATTTATACTCATCCCAGTAGCTAGAAACATTATTTTGTTGCTTAAATTTGGTTTCCTTAAGATTAATTCAGTCAAATACTAATGATCCACACCTCGGCCTTTAAAAAGAAATAGTGAAAAAGAATTTGATGTCTTTGGTAGAATGAACCAAGGTCCTCATAATCACAGTATTCTGGTATTGACTGAGAAAGTCTAGGTTTGAAATCATTCTTTTGTATCTCCTAAATTAGGATTGGGAAATCTGTGATATCCTCATTCAACTTCCCTATTTTGCAAAATGAGGAAACTGTTGGCTAAAGTAGCAAAATTATAGTTGGAACCCATGTTCTCTGGCTCTCAAAACTATACCAAGATTCAAGCCTGAAACCTCAGAATCTGCAATTCAATTTCTTGGAATTTATCCTAAGGAAAAACTGGAAGATGTGCCCAAGGGTATGTGTGCAGTGATGTTTATCTCAGCACTGTTTATAATAGCCTCCCCAACACACTGCCCTCAAAAAACCAGAAATAACTTAACAATCCATCAACAGACAACTAGGTAAATCAATTATAGTTCATTCACATAGTGGAATCTTACACAACCATCAAAAATGGTTCACATCTTATGGGAAAGGAATCCAAAGGGCGGGGATATATGTATATGTACAGCTGATTCATTTTGCTACGCAGCAGACACTAACACATTGGAAAGCAACTATATTCCAATAAAAATTAATTTTTTAAAAAAACTACCAAGATTGGTAGACTGCGCAGTAGCACAAAAATAGATCAAAAGATCCAATGGTAGTTTCTAGCATTTCATGTTAATGTGTGAGAATCTGACATATAGCTATGAATCATACTTGACATACTAAAGCAGGCTCTGACTTATTTTATACTGACAAAATGAGGAACTCAGACCTTCCAACATAGCCCAAACATCACATTCAAAAGTCTGAATTTAATATTAACTTTTGATAAAGGCACATCAGTAGAAAAAACAATTATGACTAAGCAAAGAACTTCCAGTTTTTATTTTTTAAACATTTAACAAGAAAACATTCAACCAAATTAAAAAAAATTAGGATGGATTAATTTACAATAAAATAGTCAACTTAAAATACCAGCCCTTTCATTTAGGGCCAAGGAGGCCAATAGTTTCTGTTTGAACAGCAGAACTGCACAATAGACATTTTTACCTTTATTTGATGGCACAGAAATATAAAAGTCATACAACTTTCATTGAGCTCCTCCCTTCCCCCCAGAGAATTCATACAATTGCTTCTTAGGTCAGTACTCAGGCCTTTAAAAATTATCAGTTATATTTTGAAATATATCTACAATTACTCTGATAATGAGAACACTTTTAAAAACAATTCTTTTAAGAAACACCTTAAAATAATGTTGTGGCACATTAGGTTTCTTAAAGAAACAGCAAAAATGAAAAATAATGTTTAAGAATTATAGTCCCTTGTTTATAGAAACCACCCAAATAAAATAGTTTCTCTAATTAATTATCCTTGCTTCTTATAATTTATTAGCAGAGATGAATTACAAGAAGCAGAATGCACCCTTTTTTGGTTCTTGGTTGTAGCTGCCAGCTTAAGAGTTCATGACTGTAAATGTAAAGCAAGATATAACTATGCTCACCAATTCTGGAATGGAAAAAAAACCAAAGTATCTCTTTAAAGTGTTTCTCTATCCTTGCTTTCAAGTCAAGACAAAAAATTCACAGCAGTTTAAAGGATGATGAAAGACTAAACATGGGGCCCACTACAATACATACCTAGGTTCATTTTACCTATTACACTCCTGAAGTGAAAACTATAACAAGTATGATATTACCAAGTAGCATTCTGTAGTAAGCTGTTGAAACAAGTACAGCACTCAATGGATTCATTTACAGACAGGCATGGTAGCTTTCGGACAGAACACCTTATTTTCACAATCTTAAATGTGCAACCTTTAAAAACAAACAAACATAAAGTACTATGTAATTTATGACAGCTGGCCAGGCACTTAACTTGGGGAAAGAGACTTTCAGATTTTGAGGTAAACTATAATTGTTTTCAGCAATCACAAACATATTCTAAAAACTGTAACACACTAACTGAAGTTATTCAGCGTTTAAAAGTTTGTCACTCTATCATGCCAAAATTCACACCAAAGTGTAACTTTTTAAGAAGCTATTAAAAGAATATTTTCAAGTCTGAATTTTGGCCCCATTTAGATACTTCTGTGCTTAGAACATACTTGAGAAAACTAAAAGTTACAAATATACAACGGTAATGGGTGCAAGAGCCTAAAATGAGCTACTCCCTCCTACCTCCTCATATCCCCGCATCTGACATTACGAAGAGTCACATTGCGTCACACAGACAAGTGGAAGAGGAAGAAGACAATACAACTGAGGTGACAAGCCTCAATCTATCCTCAAGGAAATGACAGCGCAATGCTCCAAGAGGAGCAGAAGCCAAGTGGCAGAGTTTCTTTGTATGGATGTGGACTACGAAAGCTTTCAGAATTAACACTAAGGAGCACAGGTCTCTGGATTTTTCATTCTCTGGGTACAGTATGATTTTTTCTTCTCTTCCGAATTCATTTCAAGGCAATGTGGAATTTGCTTAATAAATGACAACTCATATTAGAAGAGGACCTCAGTAAATATTTACACATTAGAAGACGAGAACAGAAAGTGGCCATTTTGGAACGATTCTTTTATCAAAAGTTATCCAAGTCTATTTTCATTAGAATTATCAGGATATTATCTGCAAATAGAAAAGTCAAGTCTCCAAATTCTCATAATTATTATTTTCTATCCCTTCTCAAAACAGCAATTTCAATCCAAAGGCTACTTCTTGTTCAGCACAAACTTACCAGCTTGTTACCTGGTATGCCCAGACTAATTACTCAAGGTTGTTTTAAACCCTTAAAAGAACGTAAGAATAAAGAGTATTTTTAAAATGTTGATCTGAGGCATCCTCATTCTCAAAAACTTGAGAAAAAAGATCAGCTTAATTTGGTTTTCATGTGGCTAAAAACAGAGTCCAGATAAAGACTTCTAAGCTGACCCTTCTCAGGAGAACAAGTTTTTCCAGTCCTGGTTAAGAATTTGTATTAACTGACTTCTCCTTTCCTTGCAGGACTAACCACACACATCTGGCAAAACTATTAGCTGGAGTTAACGGTGAGCAAATGTGAAAGAATTTCTTTCTCTGTGATGCTAACTGGCTCACTGAAGTTTTGACACTGTGACCCTGGTCTAGTAGCACCATGCTTTACTCAGCTGAAATAATTAATCAAGCCATTGCCATGAGGTGACAAACAGTGGGGTGAGGAGACCAAGGACGATTATATACATCAACAATTATTAATACCATGATATACAGTGAAAATGTATCTATTAACATATTTGAGGCTTGAAAATCATTTATCACAGCTATTAAATAAAACTGCATCAAACTTTTACAATTTTTGAATACCTGCAAATGTAGACTTCCTGATATGATCCAAATTAAAATATGAATGGAAGTTCATTGAACATTAGATTATCTGTAAGCTAAAAGGAAACAAATTACATGTTTTGCAGGTATAAACTACCAAAATAAGTGGAGGTTAGGTAAAAATTAAGTGAAATTATTCCTAATCATTTATAGTCTCATCTTTCTCTCGGGAGAGCCCCAAAATAGGTCTCCAGAAAATCAACTTTATAGATGTTAAGAAATGGCATCTGCTATCATATTGGTGTATCTTTCCCTCAAAGCTAGATGGGTCATAGACATATCTCAGACATTCATTCTCATGTATAACAGTTTCTGAGACATCTATTCCACTGAAGTATTGTAAAGGAAGTCTACAAGTCACTTACAGGAAAAAGGCACTTCATCGTGAAAGTTACATTTAATTACAATAAAGTTGAGAAGATGAGGGTAGACTCAAAAGGTCAGTATTCATTTTTGTATTTCTAAATACAGAGTAGATGCCAGTTTATAGAATATAGCTGATAACATTACAAACAAACCAAATAGCAACATTAACTATATTCTCAGCAAAACAGTAATTTATGACATTTCTCCAAAAACCAACACAGTTCCAAGTTCAACAATAAAAAGGAAAAAAAAAAGTCACCAGCAGTTGCTACTTTAGAGCTCAAGACATTGTTTTCTACAGAATTTCATGTTTCTACAGTTTGGTTCTCTGTTTCAGAGTATTAATTGCTTTTCAGATGAAAAACCTGGGTGGCAGAGGTGTGTTTGTGTGTGCTGGGGGAGAGCCCAGGGTGGAAAAATACTGGGAGTAACAAGAGGTTCATTTCTCTGGTCAGACAACCAAGTGAGGAGGTAGTTATTCTGAGAACTTCTCAAATAGAGAATATTATATTGATCTATTGAGAGTTGGGGAAATTGCAGGAGCTTCTTTTTGAGACTGAAGATAGCAACAGGAATACTTCTCCTCCAGGGAAGTCAGGACCAGGGTGTCAGTGCAGCTGAAATAAAGATGGAATATGTATAAATGGCACATAGAAACTATTGGAAAAACAAGGTTATGAAATCAGCATAAATGAAAATACACTGGTTTCCAAACTTGTCCTACCTTGACAGTGGCTCTTTTCTGATGTGATAACTTTAAAAGTATCTATGAGAAAAGAATACACACCATGTCATCATCAAGTAGTGATCCTTCACACTTCTGGTAATATATTTCATAAACAAAGTCTTCTAATTTCTAATACTACCGAAAATGTAACGCTGTCTGTAAAATAATTACATGTTTTAAAAACAGTTTAGGCTGCAGTGCTCTCAGAAAGGGTGCCACAGTTAAAGCAGTTAATTTTAGACTTTTAAGTGAGGTGAAACTCTTCAGTTAAATAGCAACACAGAAAAGATAACAGCAATACACCTCCAAATTGCCTAAATAATACTTATACCTACCATCAACAGACTACATGCTCACCTTGTTACATTACCACACACGGCAACCCCATACAACCTTGAGTGCCATCATCACTGCTGTTCAGTTTTTTCATTCGGTACTGACGTATTTCTCTTACCAGTGTGTAAAAGGCATCTTCAACACCCTATAAAAGAGAAAATGATAAAGACAGCTTACAAAACCCAAGTTGTAAGCTCTAATTTGTAGTTCCTTATGTGGATTTAAAATTGCAATTATTCAATTACTAGCTGAAAAATAGGCTGAGCGTTCCTACTGTATCACATTAGCAGGCTGATGAACAAACAGCACTTTTTGCAAAAATAACATTCAAGCAAAAGAAAATGGGTAGCAGGAGACATATAGAACCATCGAATCTAAAGATTTCATTCAGGAGGGCCTATACCTTAAACAGTAGCTGGTGTTGATGGAGAGAGGGCTAATGTTTTAAGTATCTTTAATCAAGGGTCTTCATTTAGAAATACTTGTGCATGTTAAAGCAGGCGTAAAAGAGAAACCAGATCAGAATATTAATAAAATTATTTTGGGTTTAGACTGCAGATTAAAAAAAGTAGAACTCTATTAAAAAATCCAAACCAGGGACTTTCCTGGTGATCCAGTGGTTAAGACTCCATGGTCCCAATGCAGGTGGCTAGGGTTTGAGTCCTCATCAGGGAATTAGGTCCCACATGCAGCAACTAAGACCTGATGCAGCCAAATTCATAAAAAAAAAACAACCCAAACAACAAAGAATGCAGATCACATCTCTAGCAAAGAGTTCATCAAACTTCTTCTGCCTTAAACAAACCCTTGCCAGATGCTGAAAGCTGTACTATACCTGTCTGGTCTTGGCTGAGGTTTCAATGAATGGAATCCCATAACTTTTGGCCAGTTCATGGGCTTGTTTTGTGTCAACTGTCCTTGTTGGCAAATCACACTTGTTTCCTACTAGCACCATAGGTACATCATCTGAGTCCTTTACGCGCTTAATCTGTTCCCTAAAAAAAGGGAATGTGTTATGGTAACATAAGAATAAACTTTTAGAAAGGAATAAACAGTCTAAAGTAAAAAATAAAATCTAACAAACTTCAGCTAGCCCTATTGGCTTCTAGTATTGCGTTTCCCTATTTCTTTTTTTTAACTACTTGCATACTAAGAAGACTGGTTTAGACTTGATGCAATAGCTACAGAGAAGTCAAGTACCAGTTCACTTTCTATCTTGACACATGCCCCTTTTTGGTTTCTTGATTCTCTGAAGAGCTAGCCTCTGGATTTAACTGGCAACTCAAAATCACACTCTAGATTAATGTCTGAAGTATAAAAAGTAAAGCTTACTGCCTCCAAATAACTTTTTGAAGATCCCTGGAGTATGACAGTATTTAATGAAAAGACAGTCTATCCACTTCTCTGGATGGGTGGTGTTCAAACATTTTCTTCAAACAAAATTAAAGCTGGAAGTCCAAGATATAAATCAGGACACACTGTAACTGCTCTTATTAAGGTAGATTAAAAGACCTGGAACTCCCAACTGACAGTACTATCTTCAATGACAAGACATATGACACAGCAGTGTGGTTAACTATTGCTCCAGATTCTCTGGACCAACCCTGTCCAACGGGTATTCTCATGATGATGGAAACATTCTCCAGCCGCCCTGTCCAACTATGTCTACTAGTCACATGAAGCTACTGAACACCTGAAGTTAGTTGCTAATGTGGAACCAAGGAACTGACTTTTGAATTGTTAATTCTACTGAATTTGAGTAACCACAAATGGCTTGTGTCTACCATACTACACAGCACTACTCTAGACTCTCCCTTTGAATTACACACACAGTCATGAACTTGAAATGCATTTCATTGGCCATCTACAGAACTGAGCTTTGTTTGGTGTGATGGCAGTACCCTATGTGAAGGGATAATACAAGAGAGTTGAAGAGGAAAATGATTTGTAGAAATTTAGCAAATATTTATTAGGTGCTTGCCAAGTGCTGAGCATTTTATTCAGTGCTCTATTAATTCCAGAGAGAAAATGGGAAGTAGAACAGGTTGAGGGGAAGAAAACCAGTTTTGGACTAGTTTCTGAGAGTCGACATCTTCATATGGTTGGAGTGTACACGAGGACTCAAGGTTACAGGCAGAACGTAGCATTTACTCTGTGGCAAACACTGTTCTGAGGGATTCCCATATTTATTAACTAATTTGCACAGCAACTCTCAGTAAGTACCACTGTCTTCATATTGTTAGATAAGGAGGCTCAGAGATTTAGTAGTTTGCCCCAAACTTCCATGACTAAGAGATGATGGAGCCAAGCTGCAACCCAGGCAGAGTTTATATTCCTAACCACTATATTATTCTGCTTAAAAAACATAGGTCTAAGAAAAAGAAGCCCTGGATTTTTGGTTCTGGGTCTCCTATTAATAACAATCATGACTATGAAAACCTAACAAACCTCCTTCTGAACTTTGCTTCTGTAAAATAAGAATGTCATACTAGAATTTTTATGGTCCAATTGAGCTTTGGAAGTTAAAGGTTCTGTGGAGAAAGGCCATCTTTACGTTCCTTTGTCCTGCTTTCATTTTTATCTACCCTCTCCCCATTTGTTTCTTCCTGTTATCGTCTGTTACTGAAGAATGTTTTTCACGGGTGTCTTCTGCTCTTGAGATTCCTTTGTGATCTCTCATAACAACACCTCTAGTTGTAAATGACTACCATTAGCAAGTCTCATGTATGTATTACCATGCATTCTAGCCACAGTAGATTATGTAAAATAAATCCCAGTATTAACTTTCAGTAATAACCCCAGATTCCCAATACCACAACCGAAAAGAAATTCTTTTCATAATTAAAAATCTGTATCTTCCCTAGTGTGGTATCCTTATCCCTACCCCAAAACTTCAGAACACACTTAAAGATCTTCCTTTCAGAAGAAACAATGCTCCTAGTACCTGTAGAGGTTAATGTCTGCAAATGATTTGCTGTTATTGATGGCAAACACACAAAGGAAGCCTTCGCCTGTCCTCATGTACTGGTCTCTCATGGCACTGTACTCCTCTTGTCCAGCTGTATCCAGTATGTCCAACAGACAGGTCTCACCATCTATAACCACCTGTTTTCGGTAGGAATCCTGGGGTGTGGCGGGTAGGAGGGTAGGGAGAGAGGGAGATTCCATTTTTATTAAAAATCATAGGGGATGCAATACTACTGCCAAGGTTAAATAAACTCTAATCAAGTCCAACTCTGTCTCTTTGGTTTGTCCCTCAAACTGCTAATATATATATAATCACATAGAAAGTACTTAATGTCACCCTAGGAAAAAGTCCCAAATGCTATATGCCTGCAGAAAAGAAAATGTGGTCACTCTGTTACTGGAAAAGATGAAGAAAACATGGTAATTCAAAGGATAGTCTATTGCAGATAAGACTAGAGATTAGGCTCACAGTGTATTTCACTGAGGTATGAACTGCACTTCTCTCATTTGTCTATTATCTATTTACTATTCTAAACATATCTCCACCAATTATAACCTGGCCTAGGATACAGTGTCTTTTGTGTTCATGATTATATACACAAGTACCATTTATTTCAGAAAAGGTTATAATACCAAACTATTTTTCTCATCATGACAGACTGTCATCATGAATATTTGGGAATATTCATCCCCATGAATCCCTAAAAGTTCCAAACAAGGTTAAGTTACATTAATTCCTGGGAAGAGAGAGATGCACAGATTATATTTTAAAAAAAAAAATTCAATTTGGCTCTAACACAAAATTTTTACTTAAAAAAAAAAAAATTTATGTTCTGGGAGCCCAAAGAAAATAACCTCATCACACACTAAAGATCTGGCTTCAGAAACAGTGTGTAACACAGTTTGCCAGCCTATTCAACAGCTTCTCAGTAACTTACTGCATTTCAGGACTGTAATATACTTTCAAATTAACAGAGAATTCACATTGCCAAAATTTCGCTGAAGCATGAAATATGGTCAAGTGTATGAGTGTTCTGGGGAAATAAGCAAAATTAAAATTATAAAGATAGGTTTTAGTCAAACTAAAATATAATAATAGAAGTCAGAGAAGTGGCTATTTCCTGGCAGGACAAGGGGGTTTACTGACTAGAAAGGGGCATGAGAGAACTCTCCTGAGCATTGGAAACAGTCTGTATTTTTATCTATGTGGTGCTTACATGGTGTACACAAATTTAAAGCCACTGAGCTGTAGATATAAGACTTACTTTATGTAAACTACCTTTTAACAAATAAAACTCTGAAAAACATCAAAACATTATAACCATAAATACTAAAGCTGGTAAGCCTAAAATAAAATTTTGCCATGGACTAATTTTTAAGAATGGCTATATTGGAGATAGCTTGCATTAAACACTTAGTGGTTGGGTAGTACAAAGACCAGGGTGTGGACTAAAATAATCTCTAGAGTTTGACATTTCTAAATTGAATAAGATTAAAAACTATTTATATAAAGGGTTTACGGAAATCAATCTGTAATATGAACTCCTACAAAAACAACAGAATCCTTAAATAAGTAATAATTACACTGCATCAGCATCCATAAAAATTTAACATACTTGATTTTTCACATTGCTTGTGTGTCAGGCAAGACAAATTTATGATACTTTACTAGATGAAGAGAGTGACTGCTCACTGTCACATAACTAATAAACTGAAAGCAGGACGGTACTCCAAGGCACAGTGACTCAAAATCTCATGCTCTTTCTACCTCAACCCACAGTCTCAGTTGCTTCAACTAGCTAAGAAACACCTAGATCTCTCAATCCTTTTTCTCCATCCTGCTATTATTCAGGTATTTATACTATGACCTGTGTTCTTTTTAACAGAGCTGTCATATGTGAAGAAACTAACCGAGTTCAACAATGAGTCTCCAACAGTTTACAAAACGGTTAAAAATTGTAAACTTTTTATAAGATCTTCAGCAGCTAATAAAAATGAACTCTTTCCCACAAACATGTAAAAAAGCTTAATTTATTGTATTACTAAACACAGAGCCCCAAATAACTTTTTCTCTTCTGAATATTCCTTTAGCTAAAGAACAGCTGAAGGGTACGGGAAGGGAATGGGTAAGACTAAATGGAAAGAGAGAGGTACGGTCAGCGGACCACCACTGGGCCTCACCTCTATGGTGGGATCATATTCATCTACAAAGTGGTTCTGGATTAGCTGGATTGTCAGTGCACTTTTCCCGACACCACCTGCTCCAACCACCACCAGTTTGTACTCAGTCATTTCACACCAGCAAGAACCTGTGGGAAAGCAGCAATTAGGGTTAACTGGCGAACCACAGAACTTCAAAGCTTTCTGTAATCAATAGTAACTAAAACCAGAATTTGAAATGGATTGGTTCCGTACACGTTCATCTCCACTTGGTTCTCAAAGAGATTCAGGAGTGCAAATACACTTGCAGGTTACTATGGATCTCAGAATTCTGGATTAATCTTCCAGCTACCCTCACCCTCGTTTTCAAGACTTTGGGCCCCGCCCTCAGCCTAAGGTAAAGGAAACCCCCCTTCCTACTCCTCCTGCAAATCTTTTTAGGTTTGGGGGGCGGCCGCCAGGCTGTCTCCCTTTCTTATTCCGCCCCCCCCCCCCTTTCTCCAGAGAACTCCTCCGTAGGGCTCAAATCGAAGGACACCCCCGCCCGGGGCCTTTGTCTCCAGTTCGTAGATTCCGCCCGATTTCTGGCAACAAGGAATTATCACTATGCTCGAAAGCTGAACGCTACACACGCCAGAGCCTTACCTCTAGCTCCACTGCCTCCACTTCGGATAGATTACGACCACAACCGGGAAAATTGTTGGGAGACCCCGGAACCGCCATGAACAGCCCCCACTAGGGAGCGGCACTTCCGGCCCCGCCCGATACGTAATCAGTCTGCGCCCAAGTCCCCGCCCCGGCCACGTGGGCCTCTGACCCAGGAGTCACGCGGCAGGCCGCACCCAGACCCGCCCCTCCCATACAGGACGTTTTAATAATGAAAGCGCTAGGTGCTAGTGTCTCAAAAATCAGTAAAACTTTATTCGCTTCCATTCTTTCGCCATTAACAGAAAACTGGAGAAAGCAAAATGTTATGTGTTTACAAAGATAAATGGCCTCTTTACCCAGAGAAGATCAAAACCTCAAACGACAACGGGGAAGATAAAAGCACCCTCCCCCACATCCCCTGAGCTGACCCATGTCATCTTAGACAAAGCCTTCAGTCCACTGGCCAGGGACCTTGTATATGGCCAATTCAAGATGAGGGCCAAGAAATCAGACCAATCCGTTCCCGTGATAAAAAGTCGAACAGAAGTTACACCAAGGGTCAAGTGCCTGTATTTTTACAGGACACAGGAACCAGGCGGCTACTTATAAAAAAAACAAGATTCATTTCAGGCACAACTTTTTTATTATTTTTTCTTTTGTTTTGAAATCAGTAAAAGAAACTGGGTCCTATAAGCTGCAGTGATCTAAGCAGCAGCAAGTTTGTGCATTCGTCTTTTTGTTTTTGTTTAAATACGTTTAAATTATCACACTGCTGGCACACCTCATTTGCATGAAATTCTGCACCATACATACTAACTGTAGTAAAGTTACCCCCCCATGCCAGGAAAAAAAAAAATACTACTCTGGAAGATAATTTTCACTGAAATCTAACCAAACTTCGTTTAAGTGGACTGTGACAAGATTATAAATGATATGAAAAATAACATTTTAACATTTGGCCATCAACTTAAGGAAATGGTTTGCCTATACAAATTTTGGTAATTTTTAATATATTCTACCCTCATATGGTCCTCAGAATTAAAGCATAATAAACAGAAAAGGAAAAAGAATGCAACTGAGTGCTAAGGCAGAAATTTTGCCAGAAGTAATGAAGGTAGAGTATATACTAAATATCAAGTGCAGAATTTCATAGGGCCAACAAGTTAACAGTCTATATTTTTCTCTTACACAGGCAAAGTGGATTTTGCAATTACCAGTTGCGTTAAATGCACCAAATAAAGCTCCTAAAATTGATACTATAAGGCGCCACCTTAAGTTTTCCAGGCTGCAACTGTGCATAATTTTAAAATGGTTTTCTTAAATTTATTTATTTTTTTAAACATAACACGAGGAAGGTGTTAAAACTGGTGTAATAGCTCAATAGAGTAAGTATTCCAGATTTTGGGAGGGATGAAGAGGGAGATATTCAGAACCCTTCACCAGAATCCCCCCAACTTGATCATAGTGGATTAATGATGTGCTTTGTGGATGTGGTTAGTCAATGACACCAGCTTGACGGATCTTTCTTTCTGCACCAAATCCCTGTGAAGAAATAAAATGGGAGTTAATGACCCAGGTGCATGACAATGGTTAATTTCACAATCCCAAAATGTAACATGATATATATATATCACATATATGTATGTGTGATATTAATATATAATACCAAAGTATTCCTCTCTATCACCACCAATTCTTTTGCAGAGGAGGAAATCTATAGTAAGCTCTCCTGATCTATTACCTAAACTATGTTCAAAGTATCAGAACATCAAGAAATGTTCCTCTTATTGTAAGCAACCATTATGTTAGGGGCTGACCCGATGTGCAGGGATCCTAACTGATTATGACAGTGATACTTGAAGCACTTTCGAAAATTAAGCCCTTTGAGCCATGCTAAAATAGGAGGACCTCAAGCAGTATGTTGGTTTATCAGCTGCCCCCATCTCCGCCCTAAAACGTGTATGCCCTCCTACCATTGAGTTATCTGGTCCCCTTGGCTGACGAAGAACCATCAGGCGAGGAGCACTGGCGTCATCCAGGGTGATATTCTTCAAGCGATTGACCAACCTATCAGGTCGTGGAGCTGCAACAGCCTTGGGGCCCTCGCTATAACAAAGTCAAGAGATGAGAACAAGCAACTCTGGGTGGGAAGAAAGTACGTACATGCAGAATGTGTCTACTACCCAAATGACTCAGTGTTAATGAGGGGGGGCTCTTGCCTCACCTAGCCAACTGGCTAGCAAGACAGGAGAGACAAGTTGGTTTATCTTTTTATTCCCAACTCGAGGAGAAGGAAATGGCAACCCCCTCCAGTGCTCTTGCCTGGAGAATCCCAGGGACAGGGGAGCCTGGTGGGCTGCCGTCTATGGGGTCGCACAGAGTTGGACACGACTGAAGCGACTTAGCAGCAAGGTTTATTACTGTGTAGGAGCTAAAAGAATCATTTGGGTGACGGTCATCCCTAGACCCTCATCCCTAGGTCCGCAATCAGAAAGACCAGTTCTGCAGACACATAAAACAAGGTACTGGGTAAGGAAAAAAAAAAAAAAATAGAAAAGGAAAAATATGAAGAAATATCTCCAGAGACTCTTAGCTCCTCTCATGCTAATGGTGTTATTAAAACAAAAACATAGTGCCAGAAATGCTAAACTATAAAATTTAGACAATGAAGAAATAACCAGAAAGTGGCAGAAGCGAATTACAAAAAGCAGTGATGGAAAGTGAAGAAACATGATAAAGCAGAGATCACAAGAGTTAAAAGACAGTCAAAGGAGGTTACTAATGAACAACAAAAAACTCACCAGACTCGCCAAACATTACAAGCACTGCACTTGCCAGTGCGCTGATTAAGAATCACTGAGAATTCCACCTCATCTCCTGCCTGTAGCTCAATGCCATCCTGAACTTCTTTCACATGGAAAAAGAGCTTCTTACTATCTCCTACTTCATAGTTAATGAAGCCAAACTGAAAATTTAAAAAGACAGTAGTGTAAAAAAGACACACCATAGGAGGGAAAAACTCACTTTCAGTGAAGCACAATGCTTGACCCTAATTAGAAGGGGATTTATAAAACATGGTGTCAATGCTGATGCCTGGGTTCTGCAAAACTTAGGGAAGAAATATATCTTTGAAATCATTGCCATTCACTCTACCACAGCCAGAGTAACAAAGGTTATCTTGTGCCTACACATAATGCATGAACTAAGCTACTGAATTAAGCAAAATCAGAAAAGTTGTTACTTGAACACAAGCTTGTTCTGTTTCCTTCCAAAATCAAGCTGGGTTATGGTATTACTAGAAACAGCCATACAAAATGTTATATTCACTGTATTGAAATTTTTAAAAAAGTCTTCTCTAAGGACTCACAGATTCCCTTGAGATCTTAAGTAACAGGAATAGTTTTGTTTGCCCAAAGTTTATTTTATGAAAACTTCTATATACATGGTTTCTTTCTTTGTGTAGTCTGCAGAAGCAGCTCTGAGCTCAAGTATGAACAACTCTTAATATGTCTTTCTATTTTGGAAGTCTCACTCTGAACTTATTTTCCCTGTTATGTTAGTTATTAGTACTACTTTTACTTTCCTTTTGCTACTATTGCCATTTTTTTCTCTCCATATAGTTTTTCAGTTTTTAATAAGCTCTTCAAATCATTGAAAAGGAAGATAAAGTGGAAATAAAAACAAAATGAATGTTGATGGTTCCTGCTTGGCTGAAAAATTTTCAAAGGTTTGGTTACCAACTCATAGAAGGATCCAGCTGGATCCAGAGGTATTACCACGTACCTGATCTTTCACACACTCCACTGTAGCCCTGCGCAGGGGTGTGATGTTGTAGGCCATAGTCTGTGCATTCTGGCCCAGAACACACAACTGGAACTTGACGCTCTCCCCTTTCTGTAGGCAGTCCCCTTTGTTGGCCATCCCAACTATGCCAAATGGATAGACCTCACCTTTCATATCCCCTGCAAGGAGAAACAGGTACAAAGTCTAAAAGCTAATATTTCACAACAGCCGTCTCTGTTGATGGTCCTAATAAATTTATAAATAATTTGCTAAAAATATTATATTCACTAAGATTTTTAATACCCCAGAAATTCTACTTTAAAGCTTCAATAAAATCCTGAATGTTAAACACTACGATGAAAATAAAGGAAAACGTGTAGCTCATTGTCACTGTACTAGCTAATGAACAGCTTTAAACCACGTTTATAGGGAAAATGAAAAACTCCAACAACACTATCACTTACCATCTCATTACCTAGTTTTAAAGCATTATGGATTGCTCACATGATCCACTGGATTATCTTCTTTCCAAGTGCACAATATGAATGAGTCAAAAACATTTCTGATCCATATGCAACTGGACATTAAACATGCCAAGCACCCAAGCAAAAACACAATGTAGATAAATTTTTTGGCATTCCACCTCCTTTCTTTGTTCTGATTGTGGCTCTCAAACCTAAGACACTTTTCTCCTAGATGGCATGTCACACTTTTTCTTAATGTCAGATAGTAAATATTTTAATCTTACAAAATCCTGTCTCTTTCACAAGTACTCAATTTTGCTGTTGGCAGTGAGAAAGCAAAGACAGCATGTCAATGAACAGCTGTGGTTGTGTTTCAAGAAAACGTTATTAATAAAGTCGTCTTATTTGCTGAGCTTTGCCCTAGAATAAAAAGTTGGCTGGAAGTCAAGGGAGGCTACAGATAAAAACCAGGCCAAAGGGTTCAGCTACCTATCAGTTCACCTGGATAGTGAATTCACTGAATCAACAAAAGTAGAAATAAAGGTAAAAATATCAGATGGAAGTAGTAGCTTCAAAATTGGGAAGGCATTTAACCATTCTCTTGATGATTATAGAGGTAAGTGAAGATTTTCTTCTCAAACTGAGAGAAACTTAAAAACTTTGAGGAGATACTGCCAATAGAGCAAGTCATACAGAAGTATTAGAGACAACTTGACTAAGTGATAGTAGTAGTAACTACCATTTATTAAACACTTACTATACTGATTCATACTTAATCTTTATAGAACCTTTTGAGGTTGAAGATATCTTCATTTTAAAAATGAAGAAACTGAATAAGGAAAGATTTGTCTAAGGTTGTACAGCTAGCAAGTGGAAGAGCTTATGTGCAGATCTAGGTCTGTCCAGCACTGAAACCCCTGGTCTTATATTAGGTTAGTTGTCTTCCTAAAAGAGCTGTTCTCACCACCAAGTGGGGAAAATGTGATCTATATAGTTCCCAGAAAACTCCAGGCTTCGAGATTTCAGGAAAATTTCCTTTTCTACAAAACCTTGTTTTTAGACTATATTGCAGTGTTGGAAGAGTAAGTGGATTAGGGGTTGGGAATGCAAAAAAAAAAAAGTAAGTAAAAGGGATAATCAAAGAGAGGAAAAAAGGGTATTTCGATGTTATCTCATGAGTTAAAGTTAGTTGCCCACACCCACATGTCCCTTTTAACGGTTTGATAATCATCATGGCATCATAGTTCAATAATGACTTGCTATAAAGTTAATTCATATTTGGAGATGTGCATGTATGAGGATACTGGTTTCACAGAAAAAAGAAATTCCTAAGAACCTCATGTGATAGAAGAACAGGTTCATCAAGGCTAATGTCCTCCTCTCAAATGACCTGCTCTTTCCACTTTATGTTCTTCTATGACTCCCAGATGGCACAAGATTTATTCTCTTTTTAAATCAAACTATCTTCTTTGGTTGGCATTTCAAACCCTCTTATCAACCTCATCCCTATGGTAATTCTGCTATATTAATCATCCAGTGTTCCCTGCTGTATTTCTATTGCAAATCTGTTGGGTCTTTCTGGTACTGTTTGGAGCAAGGCATTACAGCAGTTCTCAGGGAGTTGTCACAGACTGGGGAAAAAAGGCAGAAAAATGAAAAATAGGGAGCCGTGACCTAGAGACAAATAGTAGGATCCTCATGGTATCCTGTAAGTAACAGACATGGTAAAATTTTACAGGAAGCAAAAATGTTTATAGAATTGAATAGTTACTAGGATATTTTGTCAATACTGATGTAAATAACCAGTGAATAATAGAGGAGAAACAAAATTGTATTAAACCCAGCCAATTGTGAATGTCTGATTATCAACCATTAAATGCATATTTTTAGTGTGAGATTTCGTTCTTAGTCTATTATAACTCAGTCAGTAGCTCACATATCAGTCATTTATTCACATAAATCCAGGCTGACCTCATTTCCAAGGAAAAAAAAAAAAAAAAAGCCAAGCATGGGTAGGAAAATAAATCACTTCTTAATTCAGTTTTTAAGGACAAATGCAACACCACATTTTTAAATCTTTGAGATGCTCATCTGAAGGTAAGGCAAATTTCAAAACATGATAGAGATGTTCTTACCTTCGTCCACGATCTCAATCATTCCTTGGTATTCAGTCTGTGTTGGATCAACACTCCTCAAGGGGCGAATGACTTTACCAGAGTAGATGGTGGGATCAGCTTCCTCAGTAATGCCATTCACTACAAAAGAATGGCATGTATACAAAAGGTATACAAAAGCATGTATACCTCTCTCTCAACAATTATACTGAAATGCTATTCCACAGGATTAAAAATCAAAAAGCAAAACTCATCAGGACAAATGTTAATAGAGGGCTAGCTGGCTGTCTGCTAGTCTTAAAATACTTCTAAACTATTATTAAAGATGTTCAAAGAATTAGTAAGTATTCATATTTAAACATGTCTCACTCTCTCCTTTTCCAGGTGACCAGATGTCACCTTGTGAGGTATTCCCTGGTCTCTAGAAGTAGCGGCAACCCCAATACTTATATATTCTCCAACTTATTTTATCTTAATATCTTTCTGAACATACTACATATTTCACTCATCTTGCTTGCCAGTTTGTCTTATTTCTTCATTGCTGTACCCCCAGTATCTAAAACACAGCATACATCTAGGTATTTGTTAAACTGAATGAACATTCTTAACTCCCACTTCTCTAGAAAAACATCATGAGAAAGTGTTATTTGGGGAATTGTATTACATAAAACCCAAAAAGGAAGTTGTAAGAAATCAAAGATTCTAAATAGCAACGATTTCCTGAAGTTCCCATTATTTTTCACATTTAAACTCATTTTTGTCTTCTAGAGGAATGCCTCCCTCCCTAACCCCATGGAAATTATCTTGGGGTTATTTTTGAAAAAGAGATATTGAATTGACAATAAACTCAAAGCAAATGACCTAAATAATCCAGAACAGTGGTTAATCCAGAACAGTGGTTTTCAAACTTCAATGTTCATCAGAATCACTTGAAGGATTTGTTAAAACAGGGTGCCCATCTCCAAAGTTTCAGTAGGGCTGGGGTCAAAGAACATGTATTTCTTTCTTTCTTTTTTTTTTTTTGACAAACATGTATTTCTAACAAGTGGCTAGGTGATGATGCTGTATCTAGGGATCACACCTGGAGAACACTGGCCTAGAACATTAGGGTTTTTGCTCCCTCTCCCCCCTTACCCTTCACCCTTTTTCCTAAAGAATAGGCCGAATCATCAGAAGTCACAATTCATTACCTGAGTGTGTTTTGTTCACTTTTTCTGCACTGACTTTGTTGCCTTTTCCTTTGGACAAGCTGTACTCGACCATGTCCCCCAGTTCCAGGCTATCAACATCACCAGAGAACTCACTGCAGGGGAGGGGAAGGAGATGACATTAGAATAAATATTTACCACAAACATCAACAGGAGCAAGCAGCCTTTATTTCTTTTATTATAATATGCATGATGTGCTTACAAATTGGATACAGTTTTAAGCACTGACTCATATGATCTTCAAGAATATGCTATGAAGAGGTACCTTTATCCCCAGATTCAAGATAATGAAACTGAGATGCTCAGAGGTTACTTTTGTTCAATAAAAAGATAATAAAAGTTACACAGCTATTAAGTGGCAGAGCCTGGATTCAAACTGAAACCGTATGGTTCTAAGAGTCCATGCTATGGGCTATGGCTAACCACTATGCTATAATACCAAATCAAATACACAATTTTCTGATAGCAACATATAAAACAGAATTCTTTTACTGAAGTAGACAGGGTCCTACACAATGTTCAAAGCAGATACAGGTCTTCCCGTATCTTTTGACCACATGTTTTCTATATAGAGGTAGACAATTAACTTTATATACTGCCAAAATTTTACCAATATGAAATCTGAGATTAAAAACTACATAGCCACCCAATATTAATATTTTTGACTCCAAAACCAAAGAATGGAAGCTCCAAGTTCCTAAAAGGCAATCCTTACCTGTAATGGAAAAAGATTTCCTTATCATGATTGGCTGTTTCAATAAATCCAAAATTATCCTTCAAAGTTGCCACATAACCCAAGAGCCTCTTGGAGTTCGAATTACGACCTAAGAGTCGCACACAAGTTGCAATCTGCTGTCCAGGCCTCTGTTTGTCACTAATACTAAATTCAACCTGTGAAAAATAAGGATGCTTACTATGACATTTCCACATTAAGTGGAAATGACAACTCCCCCAGACCTTGCTTTCCACTTAAATATTCTGTATAAATAATTTGATGGAACAGAACTACTATTTCTCATTCCATTTTCCATAAAGATCAAGTTGTTCTCCAGTGTGTATTCCTTATAGATGTCAATTTCTCTAAAGGAGGTCAATTAGAAAACCAGACATTCCAACTAAGTACAACAAAAAATTAACTGCAATGTAAAAACCTTTGGTATGATTTTACTTTGATGTTTCAGTGACTGTTTTAACTTTCTTACCAATATTATTTATTTTAAATAAGGTAATTCTTTTGACATATCTAATGCTTAAACACTAACTCCTCAAAAATCTTTTAACAAAAGTTTGTTAGACCCTATTCTAATTGAATAAACTGCTTTTAAATAGGAAGATGTTCATATATTAAACTTGTAAGCACAAAAGAATTGTAGCAAAACTTGATAAAATTTAAAGAAACCATTTTTCAGGATTTAAGATTAAGATGATAACTAACTCTCCCTCCCTCTCCTTTCTCTGCTAAAAATTATCTTGCCTTGTCTCCTATTTGAGGAGAAGTAGATCCTTCCACATCCTTGGCTTGAAAAACAATAGTCAATTTCACTCCACAATCATCATAAGCAATAATGCCATCCTCAGCTTCCTAGAAAGATTGAGACAGAAAACAATGAAAAGAATCAAGAACAACTGAAAAAACACTATCAGCACAATTACAGTTATTACAGAATCCTGAGCCAGAGAACTGGCAGAAATTTCTTATCCAGGGTTCTCTAAAATACATATTTTTCGTATGAATAAAAATATAGTCTTACCTTAACTCAAGGCCAACTCAATCTGCTGTAATTTGGTCTTAAAGTCTTACCCTAATTTTAACATTGAGGAGGGAGAACTTACTGACAATATGTCTATGCTAGTTTTCACAGCCAATCAGAAATCACCTCCCCGAAAGAAAAAGCCCTATCTTCCTGTTAAACTAACTAGTGCTTTATAAAGAAACCTTGAAACTTTCTCATCTGTACCTCTATTCCGTGAGGAATATCCTTTCCTTATTTATCTCCACCTATCTCCACAGTCCTTAGTGAAACCGTCCCAGATGTTGCCAGTTTAAAAATTAACTTTTGACAAAGATCCCTTACTGATCTTTTACAGTAGCATTTAAAATTGTTTGAATTAACCTGATTCTATACAATTCTTAATCTGTTACTTAAGAGCAAAAATAATATTATGGATAGCTTCATATTTAGATTCAGTGGGTTTTTTAAAAAATGGGGAGTTCCAACATGTGAATTCAGTCTACCAAAATTTCAAAGTTTTAAATTTCTTGGATGACAAACACTATCATTTCAGATGAGTGGTTCTAAACTGGGAGTGATCAGGAGACATTTGGCAGATTCTGGAGACATGTCTGACTGTCACACAGGGGGAGAAGAGATACTGGCCTCTAGTGAGTAAAAGCCAGAGAGGGATGCTGCTAAACCTCCCCAAACGCAAAGAACAGCTACCCACCTCCTCCTAACCAAAGAATTATCCAGCTCAAGATGTTAATATTGCTGAGATTAAAATCTTTGCTTTAGATTGATTCACTGTTCATATCATAGGGGATTCTGAAAGACTAACACTCCATTATTGTATGCACAGTGGTTTCCTTTAAAGAGAAGAGACAAACTGCAAAAATCACTTTGATTAAAACTTACCTTTTCTTTGCCTTTATTTGGGCTAGTGGTTTTAGGATTCGAGAAAGTGGCCTCTTTTTCTACAGTGCCCAGAAAACGATGATCTGAATGGGAGTGGAACGAAACCGTGCCCTTGGGAAGTTTTTTAATCCTAATAGCATGATTTCTTTGGGCAGAGAGCATATCCTACAAATGATTAAAAAAAGTAACTTAAAACTGAAAAAGGAAAGACCAAGAAAACCTCTCATACTTTTCTCAAAAACTACTCACAGGAACCACAGTAAACTCTACTTCATCTGCAATATGAAGCTGGTTCCCATCCAGAATTTCACTGAAGTGGAAGAACATACGAGCATCACGATCCACACACTTGATGAAACCAAAACCATCTCTCATGGCAGCAATTACACCCTGAAACCAAAGTAATACTGGCTGTGAACACTGTCAAGACAACATTCAAGTTTGGAAGTATCACATTAAATTTGTTAGGAATTAAATATCCAAATCTTATATTCACATTTAAAAATTTCCATTTAAATACAAATTCACTGATTTCAGTAAAATAATCTCTAAGCAACTGAGACTCCCCAGATGCTACTCCTTGGCCAATAAACAGTAGAAAAATTATTTCTGAAGTAAATGTATGCAGCACATTCCATTTAATTTTCTTTTTTTTTTCCATTTATTTTTATTAGTTGGAGGCTAATTACTTTACAATATTGTAGTGGTTTTTGCCATATATTGACATGAATCAGCCATGGATTTACATGTGTTCCCCATCCCAATCCCCCCTCCCGCCTCCCTCCTCATCCCATCCCTCTGGGTCTTCCCAGTGCACCAGCCCTGAGCACTTGTCTCATGCATCCAACCTGGGCTGGTGGTCTGTTTCACCCTTGATAGTATACTTGTTTCAATCCTATTCTCTCTGAACATCCCACTCTCATCCATTTAATTTTCAATTGTCAAAAATATTGTTTTACAAGATGAGGAAACTGAGGTCGAAAGAGGTTAAGTAATTTGCCCAAAGCACATAGCTACTAAGTGGCAAATAATGGATTCCAAATAATGCCCAAGCTTTATGACAGTTTAACTTCCAGAAATGAAAAATCTACGGAACAATACTTCAAAATACCTCAAAAGTCAACTAAAGGCAACTTCATAATCTCAGCTTCAAAAATCTTTTGACTTTAGGCACAGGAGGACCTAAAATTTAGGTTTGAAAGATAAACTATATAAAGTTCCATTCCATCCTCATGTTTTTTTTCCCTTCATATTAAATTATCAGCTCTGTAAGGGCCTTATATCCAGAATAATTGGACATGACAGGTACATGAATAGTTACTGAAACACAACTATAATCAACACACCAATGACTTACATATTGTACATTTACATATTACAGAGACGATTACTCTATAATCAGTTTTGAATATAGCCTAAGCTACATTCTGACATTTAACCCTTGCTAAATCCTGATGATGTTCTCCATACTGTAAAGCAAAACAGATCTAGGAAACTTTTTTTTGAAAACACTGCAAATGTCAAAGAAGATCAGCTCTCCTAATGGTTAACAAAAGTCTCAAGAAACTTCAATTTTCATTGAACATATCCAGTTCTACTGACAACACTGGGAAATATTACAGATCAGCAGTCTCCAACTTTTTTGGCACCAGGGATCCATTTCATGGAATACAACTCTTCCAAGGACCTAGAGGTGAGGGGTCGGGAGGGGGTTCAGACTGTAACGTGAGCAATGGGGAGCAGCAGATGAAGCTTCGAGAGCTTGCCTGCTGCTCACTTCCTGCTGTGCAGCCTGGTTCCCAACAGGCTAAGGACCAGTCCAACACCCTGCTGTAGCTATTAACTCTAAACAGCACCAAATGTATATTACATTTGATTCATGATACTAATGATGATACTAATTCATGAAAGCTGACCTTTTAAAATATGTTTGGGCAACACTGGCATACATCATTTACAGACATATATTCACTAATAAAAAATTGCAAGTCCTACTGTAAAAACAAAACCTACTTTGTGGAGTATTTTATGGAACAATCTGGAAAAATCTACTTTCTACAAAGATGAACTTAAATCAACTCAGTCTTCATATTTAAGGGCCAGAGAAGCACTGGCTCTCAAAAGACCTTAGAAATCATCCTCTCCAGATTTCCATTCTAAAACCTTCTCACATCTATTTCAAGGTAACGGGGAGAGTAGGGTATCAAACCAAGATTGATTCAATGTCTATATTCTTTTAATAAAGTAACTTACCCAATATTGTCATGCCTCAAAGAATTTTCAATACCATATCACAAACTTACATATAACATCGTCCCACCTACCTTCCACATTGGATATGAATCTAATAATGTCTGATACTTACCATCTCTCTGGCTTCATTAGTGAACTGAAATGTATTTGATAGAACTTCTATGTTGGTTGCTCGTTCTAATTTGTCACGACGGTCTGTTGAAATATTAAACCTAACGTGGTCACCTTCCAACAAGGTCACCTTGGATTTTGTATCTTTGTCTCCAAAGGGAAGTTCTTTAGGAATCACAAAATCAACTTTGATGCGTCCTGGCAATGGGTCATTCTGATGAGAAGGAAAAACTATTTTAGCTGGAGATTTCTCATCCTTTCTAGTTCTAAGTCAAACAGAAGAACACACAGTAAACCCATGTTATTTATAATAGGTAATTCCCTAAAGGAAAAAAAGGTGTTGAAAACCTATGTTCAATTTGAAAGCTTTTGTGTTCTGTGGTCACATGATACAACCATGAACTCATGATACTGCAGTTAAGATCCTGCACTCTGATACTGAGAGATTTTATTTAAGGAAAAAAAAATTCAATCTCTTATGTTTTACATTTCCTTAACAATGATACCACTGGTCTCATCTCTTCACTCCACCCAGACCCCATACATACAAAAAACCCAACTGGGGCCCAAGCACACACACATGAATTGTCCACTCCCCCCCGCCCCCCCACCCCATCTAACCAGCATTTTTTTTTTGGTCCCTTTCTCCATATCACCCAGTTAAAACAAACAAACATATTCATGAATGTACCAATGGTTTCCTATTTAGTTTTAATTCTACATATGAAATACTTAATACTTATCACAAAATTACATTAATTGAATATAATAAAACTTCTGTATACCACACCATATTACTCTATTTCTGATGAGGCAAAAGATGACTCTCCTGAAAAAGACTATTTACCTGGTTTTTACTGGGTACTTTGGGGATAACTTTGGTTACAGTTCCTTCAAAATGTTCAATGCTGATATCTTCAAAAATGACTGTTCCTTGAGGCAAAAGTCTGACATCTGTTGCAACTTCTTTACCCTAAATAAGAAGGGAGCAAGGGGGGCACACATGTCATTTTAAGTGTTTCATAAATTTTAACTACTTATCTTAAAAGGTCAAAGTCAAGTTATTTAACTATCTTACATTTCGGTCCTTGATTGTGAATTCCACGTCATCTCCAGGCTGTAAGGATTCTAAGTCACCCTTAAATTCACTATAGTGAAAGAATATCTCCTTTACAATATCTCCTCTTTCAATAAAGCCAAACGCCTCCTACAGGCAAACAAATATGAAAAAAAAACAGCAGGAATATTATGCACTATTCAGCATATATATTTATGATTACAATTTACAATTAAGAAGTCTTTTCAGTGGCAACATTATTATTTGGTACAAAAGTCTAATATTAATACTAATTAAATGGCCATTTTAAAGAATATAATTAGTAACCAGATTGCTTTTGAAGTTAATACTTTTTAAAGAAAAGACAAAGAGGAAAAACAAAGCCTTTTAAAGACTTAACACAGCCAAAGAAAAAAACTCAAGTTTGTCAAATTTGATGACACTTACTTTCATGGCACAAACTACTCCCTGATAGCGAGCTTGTTTCTTTTTCAACAGCATAATATTACGAGCACTTACAGCACCAGTACTGGAAAAAAAAGAATCAGGTCGGGATGGTGGGGAACAAAGAGGGGTGGAAAATGCATTGATTTGGTTAGATATGATGACTTTAGAGAAACAATAATTTTCTAAGCCCTCAAGACTTCTGCATCATCACTAATATAAGATTTTCTAATACACAATCCTTTTCATATAGCTTCACGTGCAAAGGACTTTTGCCCAAACTTCCTAGCTTTTTAAACTGGGCACATTTATATGTAACCGTTTTTCTTTTGGGCTGTTGAAAATAAGTCCACAAATTGGCTGCCATCAGATGGGGAATGCTAAGGTTTTAGAAAGGCTATTACTTGAACAAACATAGAGTAGGAATTATGTATTGCAAACAAACATATGAGGAAACAGAGATAAATAAAAGATGGCCCTGTTTGCAATGAATACTGCAGTAGCTATCCTATCAATCATACAGCAAAGAAACGTGTAATGCAGTGATTATAGGAGATATTTGCTAAGCTTTAAAAAAGTGACATTCACCTCCATTGAAAAGAGACGTCATATGTTGCTAAACTGTCCCCATCTTTGAGCAGCAGCATGTAGATCTGATAGTGACCCCACTGACTGTAGCCCACCAGGCTCCTCTGTCCGTGGAATTCTCCAGGCAAGAATATTGGAATGGGTAGCCATTCCCTTCTCCAGGAGATCTTCCCAACCCAGGGATTGAAGCCAGGTCTCTTGCATTACAGGCAGATTCTTTACCTCTGAGCTACCAGGAAGCCCTTAAAGATGGCACAAACTGTCTAAGATGGAAGAGTATTTGTTGGTGTTGTTTTTAAGATCTTCAGACCAAGCTATTGGTCTATTACTTCCCTTAATTCTTCATGGACAAAGTGTAGCCCAATTGTGCTTTTTATTTCAGAAACTTAACAGATTAACAGAAGATGCTGGAAAAATCCTATGTGCTTTCGCAACTCACTACAGTGAAAAGGTCTTATGTAGAGCCAGATTTGGGATTGAAATGTCAATTTAAAAGCTGTGTGACTTTAGGCAAGTTACTTTATGAGAACATACCTCACTTTACACATGGAAGACTTATCAGGTAAGGCTGTTTTGAGGATTAACAACTGTACATAAATATTTAGTACAAGAGCTTAGCACATTCAAGACTTTATTTAAAGCCCTTTCATTGGCTCCCCCATCCACCTCAAGCCCTATTTCCTACTTAATGAGGTCTCAGACTATCCATACCTGTAACTCAATCTGATTTCTTCTAGTCTCACAAGAGGTAAAGCTCAAGGCTAAAAATTCTGCACACAGATGGAACTTTATTCTGTACTGCCACTGAAAGTCCATTCCCAGCAACTTCTCCCATTTTTAAGTTCCCCTTGTGCTTGTATCTATCTTTTCCAGTCTAAAGTAAAAATAACCATCCCTGGGCTTTCTTAACTACACTTTCCTTAACTGCTTATGCCAAGGAATTCAACAGCTCTATTTCCTGCCTGTCACTAGCTTGTTTAGATCTATACATTCAACTACATATTTAATATCTTCACTCACAGACACCTCAAATTCAAAATGCCCAAATAAGCATAATTCTTTTCCCACCCTTAATCTTTCTGCTGTACCTCCTAAGTCCAGTTACTGGTATCATTAGCTGTCCAGTAGCCCAAGCAAGAAAAATGGCATTTGGGACTCCTCTTCCCCTAGATCTAATAAACACCTCTATCAAGTTATTAAAGTTGGTGACTTTTTTTCCTCTTATGTGACTTGAGTCCTATACCCTACCACCATTGGCCTATCCATATTAGACCTGTATCTTTCATATTAACTCTCACATCTCTGCCTCTTGTCTAGAGCATCCCTACTCTCCAAAAGCTTACCATCCCCACCACTTCCAACAATTGAAACCATACTTCCCCAATTAAAATCCTTCAAAGATTCCTGTTACTAATGAATAAAGTTCAAACTTCATCTTTCTATGATCCAGTCAATTCAATCAACTCAAACTTTTGGCCATTTTACCCAAATGCTACTTCCTCTACCCAGAATGTTTTTCTCATTTCCCTAGTGACTCCTCATCTCAGAGTGTGCCTCAAGCACTGCTGTTTGGCAAAACTTTCACGGATCTCCAGTAGAGATCCTTGAAAGTTCTGATCATGTTTTAATTATCCTCCTATTTCTGACACCTTGCATAGTGCCTATCATAGAACTGATGCTCAAATGTTTAGCTGATGAATAAACATTTAAAAGATCATGAAAATTATCCAGATTTACAAGTCAGGTTTTTGACTCACTTCAAACTTCTTACTGCAAAAAGAAAAAATCCACTTAAATGGGAGAAAAGAACTTACTGTTTATTGTTATCAATTACAAAGTTTATTTTATCTCCAGTTTCCAGCTGAACATTCCCTTCAACATCTTCAGGGGTGTAAGTCAGATAAAACACTTCCTGTGAATTAACAAGTTATTATTACTATATTGCAGGATGCATGTTCACTGTATAATCTGACTTACTTTGTTAAATACTTCTTAAACTGGCATTTAAAACCGAATCTCTTAAAATTAAATGACTTTTTGACAAGTACATTAACTTATTCATATAAACACACTTTCCCTCCAAGGTGCTGATGACTTCTGCGAGTCCACAGCTGAGCAGCAATCCAACTTCAAAAAGCTTAAACACGTGGAAGCATTTGCCCAGAGGCTGTAGTTACATTTCAAAAAAACAATTTTTATGTAAGGCATTCCAAACAAAAAAGCTGGAGTTAGTGCTTAAAAGGAACCAGAAAAAAGATCCCTTCCCACAACCCCCACAAAAAGTAAGTAAAAGAAGCATTTTACCTTAATGTTCTAACTAAGGTCACACGTGGGCAAGCTAAGACACTTGGAAGTCCTATGGATTTTTTTTTTTCTTTTTAAAGTTTTTGATTATGCTGCACTCAAAGCCTCTTTGAAACCAAATTTAAAACTGATTTTTAATCAACTGCAGCTTACGTTTTCTATTTTGAATTTTAAAGTACGCTTATAGATCACATGGTGGATCAGGCAAAGGTTTAAGAAAAATACACAAGTTTACCCCATTACGTTCGTAGCATACACTCCCTGTTGGACTCTGACCCGGGGCAGCTGGAGATTTACTCTCTAAGTTGTGAGGAACAGCGCACACAACCTACCAGTCAAAAAAAAAAAAATTTCCATTGCTAATCATTTCAGGAGCAGCACTGTGCAATATAAACTGAATTTTAATATCCTCTATACTATACACAGGGATGCATTTTAATATGATCCACAGAGGATGTCATGCTGCCAAGTTTCAAACTTACAGTACAGAAACAGACTGTAAGTATAGACTTAGGGTTATATGTAAAAACCCAAATGACTCTTGACCTGATTTTTATTTCAGGTCAAGAAATGCCAGTGCTTCTGATATAATTTTAAAATAGTAACTTTTATATACTATAGCTCTCTTGCGTGCAAACTGAGGAGATGGGGTGAATCTTCCTTTTCTAATGTGAAAGATATGCAAATTCAGGGCCCTAAGAAAATATAAAGCATCAAAGTCACTAACTTGTCCATTAATTCGTTCTTCAGGGAGGATTTCTTGTTTTATCTTCACCAGTTTAACAGCAATGGGTTTCCCAGTCCGCCGGTCAGATGATACTTCAAATTCAACATCATCTAAAATAAAGAGTGCTATATTTGTTGAACTAATTTTGGGAAAATGGTATCTCACTTTAAAGTTAAACTTAATGCCGCATTTGAGTTTTTTCTCTAAGTGTAGTCCCTGGACCAATGGCAGCAGCAGCAGCATCACTTGAAGCACAGAAGACATGTAAATTCCCAGGGCCCACTCCAGACTTACTCAAAAACAGACTCTGGGCATCAGGTACAGCTATCTATGTTTTAACAAGCCTTGTAGGTAACTTTGATACACACTAATGTTTCAGAACCACTGCTTTAGACTAAGTCATATCTCAGTATTAGTTTTCACGGCACTTACACATACTACAAATGGTGCAACATGATGATGATGTGATTTGGCAAGCTTCCCCCCCCCACATTAAAATCCCTCTATACCCTCAGTTACTTCACCTGTAAAATGAGGATTAACCAATCTAACATTCTTGTACAATATTTGGAATGCCAAATATTCACGTTAACACATTATTGACCAGAGACGTATCAATACATTTTTAGAGAAAGATAATCAATGTCACAGTTCAAAGTCATTAGATCTTAAAATTTATCACAGGTTCATTACACAAGTTACGACTGTCCTTATCATTCATTTTGCTCTTTTTTTGTGCCAACCCTGTGTATATTATAAATGCAAGTTTATCACCATAAAAATTTTTTAAATGATACTGCAAAATTTTGAGTGAAGAATTTTTTGGTGAATTTTACACAGATTCTTTCTCTCACTATCTGAGAGACATATATACTAGTGGCTCAGAAGATGACAGTTCTTCAACATATAGTTCAGATGATGTGACTATTAGACCAGCAAAAGCACAAAAACCCTTAGTGACCTATTCCGATACAGAAAGTGAAAATGCAACTCCTGGTGCTGGAGGAGCCTCCACAGGTGTGTCAGGTGGTAACTACTGAATGCAACAACCCACGAAGTGTTAGTGAAACGACAGAACTAATTTCTGGCCAGCCAAGATAAAAATATCAGACACTGGTTTCTGCAAAAATCCCTCAGTCAGTAACGAGTTAACTATTGCTCTAACTTTTTTCTCAAAGGTATTTTAAAACACACAGAAACCTTGTAACTTCAGTCCTTTAATAAGCCACACTTTTTCTACACATGAAAGTAACTTCTATGGTGTCAGCCAAAATGAATTTCCATATAGTCCATCGTATAGTGACATCGTGTAAGTTATTTTTTTTCAGCTACTACCCAAGCTAGGACTTGGCAAAACAATTAAAACTAACATTATAAAAGTTTAATATTTTACTGGCTTAAAACCTAATAGCCAAATAATCATTATTAAGGGGAGTAACAAATCTACCAAGTATTTACTTAAAAAATATTCAAAGGTATCTTTTACTCAATTACTCTTTCATCCCTCAAAAAGATCACCACCACAAGCGAAATCAGGATTCTGCTGATTTATATAGACAAACTTCACTAATTGGTACAATAAAAAGGCCAAAACCATAGAATATGCTGATATGCAAGAAAAACTTGGGATCAGTTTGATAAAAAGGAGAACCGACAAATTACCTCCTACTTTTAAGTCCTGCAGGTTGCCATTATACTGTGAACAGTGGAAGAAAAGTCTAGCTTGACGTTCTGAACACTGAATAAATCCATAAGAGGTTAGCAGTTTTTCAATAACCCCAGTTTCACGCAGTGCTGCTGAAGTACCATTGGGGTACCCATTATGTCCATTGTTGTGGAGAAGGTTTGGATCAAAGCTCATCTGTTTTAAAAAGAGAAAGAACTCAATACATACAGATCTGTACATTCTCTCTGTAGCATACTAAGTCTGATTAACAAATCACCGAACTTTTAATATGAAAAGGCAAAGAAAATAAAGGTAATACAAATAAAGGGAAGATTATGTGTTTTTATTTTGGAAATATTAATTTAGCCAATAAAACATTTCAGAGGAAGTAATTCAAATTATTTTGGGGAACAGTCCCAATTTATGGTAGGATTTTCACATCCCACAAATCACATTTCTGGAGTTTAAATATAAAGACAAAGCAACCACGTAAGTAAAAGCTGCCTTTAATTAAATTACTAAAACAACAACATCAGGACAAAGGCAACTAATATTCAAGAGATGGAAAACCAAACTACCAGGACATATCATTAAGGAATTTATTAATACTTATTTTGAAAGATAAATAGAAACCTTGATGCTATTTGGTAAGCCATGCATCTTGAAGGCAATTACTTAAGTTAGTAAAAAGAATAAAAGAAACCTTCTATGCAATACTTATTTCAAACCAGAAAATGCATGCATACTCAGGTCTTTTAATGGAAGATGACTGAAAACAGTGAGTTAGACAAGAGTTTTCTAAGAATTCCAAGACAACAAAAGCTCTTCAATCCTAAAAATAATCAATCACTTCATAGGCACAATTAAAAGAAATCTTTTCATTTGTTTCAGACACTGATGAAATCTCCAAATACTGTCATTTGTTTCTATGATTAGATAAAGCAAAATAAAACATTCTTTAGTAAAAGAGAGGCTATTTAAATGCAATGCACCTATTTAATCATCAGATACTGTCTATCACAGTGGGTATTTCATTTTATTTAAGTAAAGCATGACATAGGACAAAATCCCCAGGGAAAGTTAGGTCTATAACTGATTTACTATAGCAACATACCCACATCTCTACAACTAGTTTTAGACTTTTTCATTGAAAATTTGACTCATAAGCATTTTCACTTGTTTGATGTTGGGCATTAATAAGAATATTTTTCATTAGAAAAAAAAGACCACTGAAATTATAGAAAAATAAACCCAAGTTTCAAGTAGTTAAACACTGTGTGGGATAGCCAAATCATGCAAAACATGTGATGTGCAAAAGCCATCACATCTATAGGTGTTCCAGTTCTTTCATGGTAGACACTGTTTTGTGCTGGATGTGTAGTAACTCATTTAATTTTTACAAAAGCCCAGGAGGATGTAATACTGTCCCTATTTCACTAATGATGAAATAGACACTGAAATTAAATGACTTGCAAAAGTCAAATGACAGAGGATTCAAAACCATATGCACAATACAGACTCTAAACTAGGGCATGTCAAAGTGAAGTTACCCAGTGATCTGGTTAAAATACAACATCTGACTCACTGGCAGGGGCTTGAGATTCTCTACTTCTAACAAGTTCCCAAGGGGATACCAATGCTTTTGATTCCTGGACACCCTCTGAGTAGCAAGCCCTACACTACTAAACTTACCTTTCGGGATTCAAGGTGAAGGAAATGCTTAGGGAAGTTAGAAAGTGAGTTTGCAGGGTATTTCAATCAAACTGAGTGATGCCTCTTAGTCATGCTCTTAACACAAAGAAAAAAGCTAGGATGACTGCTTCCCTGACTTACAGATCTCTGATACGTGGGGGTCCTCTTTTGTTTTTTAGTCCCAGATGAGGTAGAAGATGAAGATAAAGGTAAAGAAAGTGAAGGAGGGGCTGCAGGAGGGGGATGAGGATCGGATGACACAGTAAAAACGTTCTCCATCTCAAACAGCTGTGATAACATAGCACAAAGTTTATAACTATCATCAATAACAATTTAACACACATTTGACAGTCAACCTGTGTATCTTTACCTTTACCATTAGGTTACTTTAGCAAAATAGAAATCATTTAACCAGATTTGTATCAACAAAATAAATTATAGCATTAACATTAAAAGGTCAAACTGAAATTTTTTAAAGCACTTACTTAATCCTGAATCCACAATATTTACAGTTTTAAAAATGCTGTAAGGACTCTGGTGGTTGCTACAGTGAGACAATTGAGCCCAAAGTCTTCAAAATGTCTCACAACTTCACACAGAATCCAATATTCTCAATCACTTGCCTCCCTAAAGAAGGTTATACACAGGATAATTCAATGGTGTGTAGGAAGAAAGAATCTTAACTAGAATAAATATATTTTGTCCAGAGATAACAATTAGCTTTTAAATGGTTACTATGTATTTATGGGAAAGGCTCTGCTGAATTGCTTTGTCAGATCATATTACAGGTCAAACATAAAGTATTCTGAGGTTAAGAGTGGAGAGCCTCACAAGAGATTGACAGTGAAGCCCTCATTTATTTACTTTCAGCATATTAAGTTTACATTTCCCCAACTAAGTGCACATACAAATTTAGCTATCTAGTTTAATTAAACTCCCTCACAAATAGAAAGTGTTGAGAAAGATTCCTAGAGAAGAATCTTAGATAGAAGATAATGCTAATAAAGCAAGCAAAGGCAGAGTACTGGGAGCCAACACTTCTAATCTGGGCATTAGTTCTTGTACTTACACATTATGAAATAAATCACCATTAATGAGATCTGACAAGTCTCACAAAAAACTAAGATCAAGACTGTGATACTTCGCCACCAATAGTAGTGATAAAACACAAAATCCATGCTGTGCCTTAGATGTTAATTCATGGTAGTATAAGGTTTTTAAATGAAACACTTACAAACTAAGCATCCAGATATGTATTTTTGAGTGAGGCCGGAAAGTTTCTGTTAACAGGTAAACTACTTTTAAAATACTGTTTATCTTTGTCCTATTTGTACCACTGATTTGTAATGCAAGTATAATCACACAATTTATAAAAATATACACATGTACATTTTCAAATTAATTTGAAAGCCACTATTCCACCATCACTGACTTAGATCATGACTTTCAATCTCTGCTTTCTTCATGTTTAGACTACAGTTCTAACCATTCAAGTAAGAATGCAATGATATGATCTATAATACATAGGGCAGCAGGCTGCAAAAACCACATTTCCAGTCCTAGCAGTGTAGCTAAAGGTAGGAGGTAGTAACTCATTTTTCTCACCCTAAGGGAAAATGAACCAGAATCAGAAGGGATTACAGCTGTCATTTCCTTCTAAGACTAAACTGTTCCCCAGGGAGGGTACTGGAATTTAGGCTGTATTGCTTGAATCTCATTGCACTTTTAGATGTGCACATCAAAACAGAATTGAAACAGAACCTCTCCTTTCTCCTAGTATCTTAAGTTTTTTTATCTACCCTTTATCCAATTTGAGAACTACTTTTCAAAAATGGAAAAACCATGTATTATTCAAACAACTTTAGAGAAGACAGTACATTAACCCTTAATAAAATTCCTAATAGTACACTTAAATTCTTTTTTAAACAAGCACCAACAAAACTTTAAAGAAAACACCATTAGACAAAATGGTAGGTTATTTAAAGAAGAAAAAACATATAAAACCAAACAATTACATAAAAAAAGAAATTCAATGGAAAAAGCAAGTAGCTCAACAACAGATGTTTGTTTATAAAAAATTAAAGACAGCAACAAAAAAGGAGGTGGTGGTAGGAGGAATGAACCAGTATATGTATGTTATTTGGCTTTTAAAAAAAATAGGTGGAAAAATCTATAGTTGCTCAATTCATAGCATAAAGTATATTTCAGATGAACTGTGTTAAATGCCTTAACAAATATTAAATAAAAACGCATGTATTTATAAAGATTTTGGAAAGGGGATTTTCTAGATTTAAAGTCAAAAGAAAAAGATGCAAGACAAAGGATCGCTATTCGGTTATGTAAAAAGTACAGACTTTTATACTCAAACCTAAAGAGAAGAAAAGCACATGTAAATACGTAAGTGTATCATTAAAGAATTTAAGCAAATCAGTTAAGAATTAAACTACCAGAATATACGCTTCATGAGAACAGGTACTTTTTGTTCAAAGCTAAATCTCCAGTGTTGCACAGAGTTTAGCACATAGTAAGCACTTATTTGCTGAACTGTGGAAGACAAATCTTAAAAGATTATTCATTAAAGACAAAATATATAAGCTTCAATTGTGGCAAGCAAATATTCAGATAAAAGCAAATTATTCATTTATCAAACTACCAAAGAAAAGATTTAAAACCTTTGAGAAAGTAGGTTAAGAACACGCTAATATTTTTTCATGGTAGTAAACTGGTGGAATCTTTCTGAAATACAATTTAACCACACGTACCAAAACATGGGGGTGTTTTCCTTAATAATTTTACTGCAGGAAAACTATCCTGAGGAAATGTGAAATGTGGACAAGGCTTTATGCACAAATGTGTTCACTAAAATGCTTTAATAACAAATTTCTAGAAACAATCTAAAGTTTAGCAATGGGTCAGTAAGTCACAGTAATGTATATAATGGCAAAAAATATTTATATGATTTCAACTGGTATTTTAAAAAGGAAAAGAGCATGAAAATCTACTTTAATACTCACAGACAATAAAATACTTAGATGGTGTTTGAAGGGCACAGAGGTAAAACTGGTAAATGGGAAAAGAATCTAGTACTCACTCCTCACTCGACCATCCACATTCCTAACCACTGCTTTATGCACTAAACCATGATGAGTGCCTACAATGCAGCAGTGCTGTTCTAGGTTCTACTTGTATAGTAGTGAACACAACAAACAAATATTACCAAGTCCAAGTTTAGACTTTTTCTTCTTCCAACATCTCTTGAGTTGTTTCTCCGTTTTTCCTAACCTAGTCTGCTTGGCTCTCACTGAAAAGGAATTAGTTTAGAAAAGGTAGTCTATGGATACCAAGGGGGAAAGCAGTCAGACAACTGGAGAATGCAACTGACATATTTACACTATTGATATTATGTACAAAATAGATAACCAATGAGAACCTACTGGCACAGAGAACTCTACTCAATGTTCTGTGGTGACCTAAATAGTGAGGAAATCCAAAAGGGGATATTTCTAAATATACAGCTGATTCACTTGGTGATACAACAAATCTAAACACTATAAAGCAATTATACTTCAATAAAAATTAAAAAACAAACAAAAATGAACCAAGGTCAACTAGTCACAGACAACTGGGCTTTAAGCTACAGACAATGATAACGTTCTTGCTTCCACTTCTTCTCTGTAAGTCTTCTCCCTGCTCCCATCGTAGAAGCACACCTCACCACTTCCAGTTTGCCACTGCCTGACTGAAATCAATAAATGTTCAAATAAACTCTTACCAAAAAAACCCCAATCTATTTCACTGTACAACAGTTTTAGAAAATGACTGTCTTCTTAATCTAAACATACCTTAACTTCCTTCCTCTGCTCCTTTCAGTTTTCCGAATGCAACCGTTTTTCAGACTAACTGCTGTGTTCTGGATATGTTCTAAATAATTATCCACTGAGGTACATGTCACTAATTCTCTTATTGTACCGTGACTAATAACATAATACAGACAGCACTGAGTGATTATGTTTCTTGATTCTGTAGACTAAGAAGTTTCAGTAACTTCATATAACTAGGAAAAAAAAAATCCTCTATATTACTTAATAAATCAGTAAAATCAGGTTTTTCCTTCTCCTATTTCTTATAACTGATCATTTATTACTAAAGAAAAAACTAACCTAATAGTTAGGGTTAGTTACTTCGTACAAAAAGCCTAGAATGATGCTTATACATAAATATTCACATAACTACTTATTGCTAAATCTTGAAAAGGAAGGAAGATAGAATCTGGCAGCACATATGTGGAGAGCCCTTTGAAAATCAGTCCATTATTCAAAGTCTTTTAATGTTTATTATGCAATCTATATTTCTGCATACTGATCACTATGCTATCATGACATGCTCTGTCAAATCTTACTGAAAATTTTTTATTTTGGGCTCCTGGACTTTTGATATGGACGAAGAGCAAGCTCACAAGTTTGCACACCTGACTTTGAAAATTAATCAAGACATGTAAAGTTCCTGGTCATGGGTCTCCATTAACTACTAGCACACTCCAGCAAGTTACCCTGTCATCTTATTGACTGGGGGCTTTAGTTTTTTTTTAATGTTCCTAGCTTTGCTTTCCTTCTGTCATCTGTCTTGATCAAAATACTCACCAAAACAATCCATGTATATTTTACATGCCAATCAAGCTTCTTAAAACCTTATTCTTTCTAGGTACTTTTTAGGGTCAATCCTACTTTTCAATATTTATTCATTCCTCATTTTGTACTACTTTAAACTGTTTTTAGAAAAAAAACAAAAAACAAAAAACAAACATCTCTTAAACGTGGTTCTCATATGTAGAGAGTAGTAACCTTATGGTTACCAAGAGAGTAGGGGAGGTGAGATGAATTGGGAGATGGGGACTGACATATATACACTACTATTTATTGAATATAAAATGGATAACTAATGAGAACCCACTGGATAGCACAAGGAACTCTACTCAGTGCTGTGTGGTGATTTAATGGGGAGTGAATCTGTATCCAAGAGTGGATATATGTATACACATGCCTGATTCACTTCGCTGTACAGCAAGAAACTAACATAACATTGTAAACCAACTATACTTCAACAAAAATTTAAAAAAATCTGTGGTCTATTGCATTGCTAAATCTGTCTCGTTAGCTTCACTCCTGTTAACTGGAATTCACAACTGTACAATGAGAACATGTTTTAATGTCAATACCCCCACTCATTTATCTGTTTGTAAATATTTACTATATTAGTATTTAGCCTATGTACTGTAAACT